ACCTCCCTCGACCTGCTGGAGATGCTCTTCTTAATGCACCCCAGGATCCCATTGGCCTTCTTGGCCACGAGGGCACACTGCTGCCTCATGGTCAACTTGTCGTCCACCATGACACCCAGGTCCCTCTCTGCAGAGCTGCTCTCCAGAAGGTTGGTCCCCAGCCTGTCCTGGTGTCTGCGGTTATTCCTCCCCAGGTGCAGGACCTTGCACTTGTCTTTGTTGAATTTCATAAGATCTTGTGAATCTGTGTGATAAGATCTTGTGGAAATGACATTTGTCATTCTATTATGGCTAAATAGGATCATGTACCTGTTGAATAAATAGTTGGGAGGACCAGGGAAACAAAAATTTGGTGTGATTCAACAACTTACACAATCAGCTTGAGATTCTTTAAAGAGAAATGTTCTTCAGAATTAGATTTTACTTATTAAAGCAACTTGGACTAGAAATTAAAAACAAATCATTGACTACTTTGGTAGATTTTAACTGATAGGCTTTGTAATCTGATGATGCTTGACAACATAGCTGAACCAGGAAAATAACAAAAATGGATTAGAGCTATTGAATCACATTTCTTCCTCACTACAAAAGCTTATTTAAAGGAACATCCCTGTTACTCCTCTGACACAAACAGGGAGCCAAAACAGAACCGAAAGGGAGAATTCTTCCCCTAGGGTTGATGAATGTAACCAGCACCTTTAATTAGAGACCCAAAACTGGTCTGAGAGTACATTTGCCCCAAAGTCATAAGTCTGGGAGAAGACAAAAATGACAGTCTGCTCACAGTGCGCACCTGCTTGACTAAACACTAATAAGTGTTCAGCAAGATACAAGCCAGCAGAATTGAAGGAACAGTACAAGCACAGAACTAGAGCTTCCACATATCCAGCAGGAAGGGTATGGAAGCAGGGAATTCAGCCCACATCAATATGGGAGCCTGTGCCCACCCATGCTTCCTCAGAGAGGGTACATGTCCTGTTAAAAACAAAGAGTGGGAATGTGGGTGATCACAACTCGGGGGAATTAGAGAAGGGTGGTCACTAATACTTCATAAATTCATGGTACTGTGGTTTAACTGTTGCCTTGCTAATGTTCTTGAATGTACAGCTCACTGATTGTCAGTAACTATATGCTCTTACTAAAGCACACTACTTCAATGCCACTTTAAACCACATCTTCCTCTAACAAGACCCTGTTAAATCAATTGTTTTGGAATGAGAATGAAGATGGGGCCACCTCAGCAGAAAACACAGATGAGACTCACATACATGCACATAAGGAAACTCACTTACTACAATTTCTTACTTTTCACAGAACAGCAGCTAATTAAAGATGCTTCACCTAGACCATGGAAGCTCTGGGTAAAGTTCAGAGGAAGATCACTATCAGCTTCCAAATCATTTTTGGGTTACAGTGTGCTGCTTCTACCTTGAATACCTTTCTTGCTGAAGCAGCAGTCTAAGCAGAGAATATACATTCCCCCCCACCACATACACCCACTGACATGCAGAAAGTTCATATAGAACCCTGTGTACTAGGAATTAAGTGATATTAATTTGGCTACTTGGTTGTCATTCCATGCCCCCAGTTATTTCCCCTACAAAGTATTATCATGGAAGAAATTCATAAAGCTCAGAAGCCAGCCTACTGAGGAGTTGGGCTTTGTAGAAGCAAATATAAAGACAGAAGGCAAGATCAAGAAGTTTCAAAGTGTCACAGCATTTCTAATTGTGACAAAAAATGTTGCTAGCCAGCTGCATCCAGAATGATTTCATTTTTCCCCCCCATCAAAATGGTTCCTTATAGAAATAAGGAACAAAAACTGAATACTGATGACATCTGCTTACTGATCATCCAGGAAATAAGCTCAGTTCATGAGTTATCTGCTTTCATATTCACTTACTAGAAGTTAGTCAATGTGAGACTGAAGATGTACACAAGTAGTACCACAACAGTGACTCAGTACTATACAAAGAAATCCCCCAGCTAGAGATATGAAAGTGTTCTACTGTCCTTTAAAAATGAAAGAATAGCAGACACAAGGAACTTGTAAACAGCAGAGTCAGAAAATACTTTATTTTAGCAAATATCTTACACAACAGTAGGCACATCCTGTGCTCCTGTCACATTTTTATCTGTAAACCATGCTACTTTAAATAATTTGCTGTGTAAAACTCTTGGCCAATTTTTATCTGTAAACCATGCTACTTTAATTTGCTGTGTAAAACTCTTGGCCAGTAAAATCTGAAAACAGTTGCCCTCAAAACACAATTTACTTTTCAGTGATTAATATAACTCTGCATTTGTAAACAAGTCCTGGTCTTAAATCAACTGTAGAAAAGAAATGTTTAAGACAAATACAATCCTTGTAGTAGCTCAACTAACTTATTAAATAGTTGGTGAAAGTTTACTGCTAGAAGCAGTAGAGTTTTATTGCTCTTACAGCAAGAATGTTGGGATACAACCAAACTTTAAGTGAGCAATTTCTAAATGAGTAAATGAATGAATGAGTTCAGGCACTCTAAACCTTTAACTTTGCTGTAGATAACAGTACAAAAGAGCTGTCAGAGCTCTAAGGGATAGGGTATACTAGACTCCTTGTAATGCTGAACTTGGAATAACTCGACCTTCACATGGATAAGCACTTAGTGTAAAGTACCAGGTGCTCTGTTTATTTCCTATGGGCTTTGAAGTGGAAAGAGAAAGGCTGCACACATTTAACCAAATGGTAACATTATCTGTAAAAGCAGCATGCAAAACTGTGCAATGAACACATGCAAACACATATGGTCAGCTTTAACCCATTTACATGAAAGTGTGTTAAGTTCCATAAATCAACTATACTTTTTTGGTGCAAAGTTTTTCCACAATCAATATTATACAGAAGATAGACTACTATGATTTATTTGGGCTATTTTGAACATTAATTACAGTATCAAGCCACAATCAGAAAAATGAAGAGAAATTTTAATCACTAGATAAATGAATACTTAAGTACATCTTGTGGAAGTGCTTTACTTACATACTTTAAAAAGCTTTAGATAGTGCTACACAAAATGTTGCTAGTTGATAAATGTTTTCTTTTACTGTCAGCACATAAACTTACTGCTTAGAGAAATTCGATTTTATTTTGACAACCATCACTAATTACAAAAGTTAAAATACTTCCATTAAACAGCCTGTCTGTAAATACAAAAAAATTCAGAAAATTCTCAGAAATTTTCCTCATTTTCCCTGCTATACCTCACAAATAACTAAAGCTCCTCTTACCTCTAACATCCTAATAGCCTATTGTGACGGATATGCTCCTTCCCCAGCTCATCCTGACTTAGCACCTGAACAGGGCTACGTGTGAGAACTACCACATTCCTGGTAGTTGCCTCCCTGATTTCTTCCCCCACCCAGACATTAACCATCAATAACAGTCCTGACCGCCCTATCCTGATGGGGAGATAAGGCTAACTGTGAGTACACCAGCCAAAAGTCATTTCTGAATTGAAAGAATGACTATCAGTCAATCATCTTATCCCATAAATACGGAGACAGCCCAAGAGCCCATCGAGCTCTCCTTGCATGGCAGCGGGCTGCACGCTGGGATCTCCCCTTGAGCAGGGACTCCTCTCCAGGATACTCCTCGAGGTTA